GCTCAGCTCCTCAACCTTTCATCCACAGATCTCCAAGTTCTCTCCGGATGGTTAGTGCTCTCGTCACATCCCTGTTTGAATGCCTTCTTCCCCATTGTTCCCTCTTCCTTCTTGTACGTCACCCAAACCAGTGTCTCTTTTCATTCATTTTACGCACATCATTCTCTGATTCTTATTGGCTTCTTAACCTTTAAACAAACCCTAACACTTTGCACACACCCGCTGCCACTCTGCAGCTGAGAGGAACTCAGCCTGCTGAGGCCCTGATGGAATCAAGGTTAACAAATCTAGACCAAGGGACCTTTGCTTTGGTGCATGCCTCCCCTCCCATGCTCCCACGGACTCTCCCTCCTCCATCTCTGTGCTATTTTCTTCCCTCTCTTCTCAGCTCTCTGCCTCCCTCCCCCTCGCCTTTTGCTCTCCCTCTGTTTCTCTCCCTGCTTAAGGCACTGTTACAAGTAATGGAAGGCTCTGGGGGTTACCTCTGTTAATGTTTGTCACCAGGTCAAAATTGCCTTTCTGGGGTTGCCCCTACCCCCCAACCCCCATCTAAACTCAAAGTCCAGTCAGTCAGTGAGCACTTGGAGCCCAGTCTCTCACTGACCTGCTTCCATGAGAGCTCGCGTCCTACCTGAAAACGATGAGTCTTGTGTGGAGGCGAGCGCAGAGAGCACTGTGCCTGGAGATGTTCTCTCCCAGAATCCTCAAGACGCGTCCCTCTCTGAGCCGTGAGTGGAAATCAGGGTGGGCATGGGCCTGCAGAGGCTCAGCAGGAGGGGAAAGCCTAGGCTCTGGAGCCTGCTGCCTGGGACTTGGGGGTGTAAGATCATTAGATCATGATGAGGCCGTAGAGGTGGAGCATGTAACCGGTGACTGCTTCTCGCACTGGCTGACGGCGCCCCTATTTCATAGCCCACATTTTGCAATGCCCCCTTTGCTCTGAAAAGAAGTTCATGGATAATTAAAGCCAACGGTTATGGCAAATTTAAAGCAATATATACTCTAGTTGTAATAATATCAAGAAGAAATCAAGGGAAAATAATTCAAAATAAAGTATTAAAATCAGGGATTATTACTTAAAAAGATATAAAGTATCCTCACAAATTCCCACCACATCACTAGGAGATTGGATGACTCCCTCAATTACTGACAGAGAGACTGAGAAGAGCACTGATTTCCCAGAGTCCTCCAATCCAGTGCTAGACCTCAGGCTCCCCGTTTTGGCTCAGGGTTATGCATCAGGAATAGAACATGTGAGGAGACCTGGGGCAGCCAAACATCTGGGGCTTCATCGGTTATATCCTGTGTGTTGCTGATTTTCACATGAAACTTAGTTCCCTAGAACTCCACCATCTTTGCACAAATTTGCTTCAAAAAAAACATGAATTTAAGCAGCTATCTGTCTACATGTTCCTGTGCTGTGCTGGGATCTTGTGCTCACAGCCCTAAGTGGGGAAAGAAGGACTTTGTCTGTTCCCACCAGGATCAATTTTGTCTTCATTTTTCTCATCTTGCCTTCTTCTGCCTTCTTCCTTTTTCTATTTGCCCCCCCACACACACACACACCAATTACAATCTTATACAACTAAATATGTACCTGATGCTACAAGCACATTTCCTTTTATCCTTAGGGGACAGAAAACTAAAGAATAATTTTTAAATGTGCCCAAAGACAGATCCATAGCAGTGACAACCTAGAAATCAAAGTCAGGTTTCTCTGATTCCAAACTCAGAAATTCTACCATGCCCTATTTATCAATTATCTTCCAGTCCTGCTAGGATTCCTCCTTTCCCTCAGTCATGAGGTATTTTTCTGCTAGAATATTACTTAAATCCATTTTCTCTAAAAACTTAGAATTACATTCAGGGTCTTATGCTTGAAAAGGATGAAACTACACTACAAGCCCCAGCAATTGAGAAAGGAAGGCAAAGTCTCTTATCAGCCCTTTCTCACTCCTTTTCTAGCTCTGAGGGTGGTAGGGTTGGGTTGGTGGTGACAGAAGTGACTTCAGAATAGTTGGGGGAGCTTGGTGCCTAGAAAGTTTGCTTGCTTTCAGTTGTTTTCTTTTGTACTTACATTTTTTCACTGACACTAATTGTATATGGTCCTGGAAGACAGGCTAGTGATCTATTAGGACAATCATTTCTACCTTTTTCTTATTTCTGTTTAAAGCCTGTGAATTCCTCATTCTTTACAAAATATATGCTGGGTTGTCGCAAAACCTTGTAACCTTACTAGAATTTGTTCCCCCTCTCTAACGCTATTTTGGTACCCTTCAAGTCTAATCTCACCCTATTCTCCTTCACCACCAATTTCCCATCCTCTTGCAATCATTATTATGCTCTTTCCTTTTATATCAACTTTTTAGTTTCCACATATGAGAAATAACACACAGTATTTGTCCTTTTTGCTTCTAGCTTATTTTACTTAATGCCCTCCAATTCCAACCACTGTGCTTCAAGTGACAAAATTTTATTACTTTTATAGCTGAATTATCCGCCAAAAACTACTTCCATTGATTTTGGTGATTACAATGGCTTGTGTCTAGATGTCCCCCCAAAACTCATGCACAAGAAGGTGGGGCTTCTTGGAGGCGGCTGGATCTAGACTGCATGATGCTGGCTTTAAGTGTGTAATGCTAAGATTGAAAGTGTGTGAGATTGCTAAATTAGCCCACTGACTGGCTTGACACAGTTCTGGGAGCAAATAACCACAAAATCCTCCCCGGGAGTGAGTGCTGGGTGCCCGTAACCTGGGTAGGGTACAAGGGATCGAAAGAGGGCCGCCGTGGTCACGTGCTGCTTCTTCACCTTGGTGCCTTCTGCCTTCATGAACTGCTCCTCCTCTGCGAGGCCTCTGCCACATGGCCCTGCCTTAGAGCCAGTCAACTGTAAACTGAAACTGTTACAAACGGAGAGCTAAATAAACCTGTCCTCCTGTAACTCTCAGTGTCAGGTATTTTGCCTCGGCAGTGACAAATGTAACTGAGCCAGTGCTGCTAGCGCCATAAGGAATATGAGAACAGAGGTATCTTTTGAAATGCTGCTTTTAATGTGCTGATGTGGGAGAGCTGGATGTTGGCATAGTTGTATTCTTACTGTTTTTAAGGAGTAGCCATATTATTTTCCATAAAGACTGAGGGGACACAGGCACCTGGGATTATCCTTTTGCTCAGCACACACACAGGGAGTGGGGAGGGAAGGTTGGTATAGATCTTAATGGGGGCTGAATGACACAGTGCATCATCAAAGTGTCCTCTGCACCTACGGTACAGTTTATGCCCAGCAGTCTCAGAGCACAAAGCTCCCACACAGAAGGAGTAGATCAGTTCTCCTCTAATCACCCAAGGCCAGCTCCAAACCCCAACAGAGTTTCAAGAAGCCTCTGTGGAAGGATGCGTCTTAAGTGCCCAATGCTGGCTGTGGGGAGACCCTCATGGCCCAGGCCTCACACTCAGCGTTGCCTGGGATCCAAGCAGACGAATGACAAAATCTTCCCTTCCTAATCTGCTCTGACTATCATAAGAAGCAGATGGGAGGACGAGCATGACAGTTGTATTTCAAGAACAGTAGGGTGCTAAACAGAAATAAGTCATCGCTAGCATTTTAATAAACTATGTTATGTGCATTGAATATTTTTAAGTATTTTCTAATCTTTTGGTTTTTTACTTTAGAGCATGAGGAAGTCCTTGATAAGTATTCCATTGGTATTGAAAAGTACTTGCAGATATTGGAAAAAATTGTATCATTTTGA